TTAAAATAAAAAAAAGAATTATTTTGTTGCTTTTTGGTGTTTTGTTGTGGGGGTTGGTGGGGGGGGGGGGAGGGCTTCAGTATAGTCTCATTCTCTCTTTTAAAACATCTGATTCTCTGGAAGAGTACAACCGATTGGACTTAAATTTTTACCATAAGCTAGATTATCGAAAATGATGCGACCTATGCTTGCGAAAAATATTTTAAAAGTTAGTCTTCAGAGATTTTTGAAGGAATCTTCTAAAATCATCAGATCTGATTATGATCCGGGTCGTACTTTATTCGGATCGGACTAAGACTTCTTCAAGAGGTATCTCGGACAAAATCCTAGAAGATCTGTTACGCTTGGAAAAAGCTTAACTACATCTCTGAGATTTTGTTTCAGGTATTTTGTGAAAAAATTTCATTCCTATCGAACATAGATCCTATCATTTCCAATAATCTATTTGTGATAAGAATTTAAGCACGATTATTTGTACTCTAGCGATCAATCAGAAATAAGAACCTACTCGTAATTATAATATGCAGTCGAATCGTGTCTGACACTTCCTTAGTCACACTGATGATCAAACATTTAATCTATATTTAGGACTTATGAAAATCAGTGAATTACCTATGGCATTTCAAGATACAAATAAATCAGGAATTCATAATATTTCTGTTATTCTACCTTTGTTACATAAATTCGATCTTGCAATAACATGGGATAATCAACATTTAATATTTCCATCACTTCTTCCAGCTCAATTAAGTTTAAATACAATTGTAAAGCATAAAAATCTTTATCATTATTTAATAGTTTTTTTTTTTTCTTGTTAAATTTTAGTCAAGCCATTGTCGTGCATCGATTATATCTTCATCAAGTATTATTAAATTTCAAGAAATTTCTAATCAACTTCAATATTTTAAGTTTTTAACTAATGAAAATTCAACAAAATCAATTTCATTACATTTAAAATATTTAGCACGTATACAAAAAGATGATCCTAAATTATTTTCATATATTCGTCGTTATTATCATTTAATATTTATTCCAACATGTTTTTGGTCACGTTTATTTGCACGTTTAATTGGTGATAAACAATTACAAAAAGCATTTACAAATTATTTTCTTGTTGATTTACAATCAAATTATTCAAATGATAAAATAAAAAATATTCTTATGGCTGAATGTTCATGGATTGTTTGTCAAACTGGTATTGAACTTCGTTATTATGATTGTTGTCTTTTAAGAATTAATCAAATAAATTTAATATCATCTATAAATGACGATGATATTTCATATTCTTATTTAAATCTTATTTTTCAATTTCATACAGATGAAGAACAAAATAAACAAATTTTACCATTTAATGATCAAGGATCACTAATTGAAATTCTTATTTGTACAAGTGATTTACAAATGATCATTGGATCAAATGATGATGAAAGTGAAGATTCGAATCCATTTGTAATTGAATTATTTGTACAACAAAGTACAATCGGACGTATATTAACAATATTAATGGCTCATTTTGATACGTTATTAGAAGATTGGTATCCTGAAATGGGTACACGATTTGTACAAAATTCTAAAGGTGATTATTTAGTTAATCGTTTTATTCCATGTCATCAATGTTTAAATGAAAATAATCAATCAGAAAATTTTATTTGTCAAACATTTTGGTTAGAAGCATTAATGATGTATATTGAAAAAGGAATGGAAATAAAATGTGAAAAACATGGACAAATATCTTTAAAATGCATTGCACCCGATTTGGTGAGAATTCTTTTTTATTCTTTTTTTGTTCTACTAAAATTTATACAAGACACACAAAAAAAAACATAATTTTAGATTTTTTGTGATTTATCATCGGATAATTTTATTATTCCATTTGAAGCAATTAAATTGAAAAAATTTATTGGACAAGGTACATTTGGTACTGTTTTTGCTGCTACATCATACAAAGTAAAATTTACAAGAATTTTTTTTTTTTATATAGATTGTTTATTTAGTCGACAGTGGATCTTGCTTGTAAAGCTTTTGTACCAATTGATTCTTCGATTACTATTGGTCTTATTGAACAAGCACATAGTGGAACTAAAGATGAAGAAAATGAGAAGAAAATATCTTTAGTAATTATTTATGAAATTGAAAGAAATTGAATTTTTATTATTAATATTTTAGCGTGATATTGCAAAAGAATGGACTCGTAATCCAATGCGTGCTGCATCTAAAGCTTATATAACTTGTCGACAAGAACTTTCAGTACTTTTAACAACTGGTTCACATCCAAATATAGTTCCACTTGCTGGTTTATGTATTCGACCATTAAGTTTAATGTTACATTATGCTCCAATGGGATCACTTGAATCCATATTGAAAGAATATAAACGAACAAATACTCAACTTGGATTAACAATCTATCAAAAATTGATTATTCAAGTATGTTTATTTAATAATTATTATGAGTTTGTTTGTTTTTTGTTAATATAATCTTATTTATTTAGATTGCTAGTGCTATTGTTCATTTACATAATAATAATATAATTTATCTTGATCTTAAATCAGAAAATATTCTTGTTTGGAATATGCCACAACCACGTCTACCATCAACTGGACAAGTTCTTGTTAAATTATCAGATTTTAGTATTAGTCGAGTATTGTCATCGATTGGTAAGATTTTTTCTTGATTTATTAATAGTTATAAATTTAGTTTTATCTATTAGGTACGAAAGGTTTTGCTGGTACCGAAGGTAAGAAAATGATTCCAAGTGAAATGTTTTTATAGACACCAGTTTTTCTTACTTTTAGGATATATTGCACCAGAAATTGTTCGATTTACTGGTGATGAATTATATACTGAAAAAGTTTGTTTAATTTTATCTTGATAATATGTTGGAAAATTTCATCGTTTTTTTTTTTTTTCTTATAGGCTGATATATTTTCTTTTTCTATGCTAATGTATGAATGTCTCTCGTTGAATCATCCATTTAGTCGAAATAAACGTGATCATGCACGAGAATTAATCTTACATGGTTGGCGACCATCATTAACTGAACAGGTAATTATATAGATTTCGCGTTTTGTTACTGTTTTCTTATCAATATTATGTAATATTTTTAATTATCGTTTTGTTTTGTAGGAATTATCATCACCAACATTGATTCTTGATTTAATGGTTGCTTGTTGGTCTGAGCATCCGAATGATCGACCATCAGCAAAAGATATACATCAATTAGCAAGTTCATTAGAATTTCGACATTTAATGGATGTAATTGAAATTGGTAATCGTGAAGAATTTAATGATTCAAATACATTAGCTGCTGTTTCTTATCGAGAAAGTATATAATGAATTTGGTGATTTTTTTTTCTGATTGTTTTTACAAGAATTTCTTTTAATTAGATAATGAAAATGATGATAATGATGATGATGATATTGATATTCCAACTGCAGATTGTTGGTTTATTCGACAATCAAAACAAGAACAACAATCATCGATTGTTATTGTTGCTTATGATCAATTCAATGCTGTTAGTCAACAGGTTTGATTATAAACAAAACAAAAAATGACAATAGTTTAAAATATTGTGAAACACACTCTCCATAGACCGTGATATAGTCGTTGATATTCGATTCATAGGCGACGAAACCATGAGGTGTGAATAGACTCGAATATTTGTTTCTCATTCCATTTGATTTATACAGTGTATCAAAATTCTTTTACAAGCATTAAGATTTTTCAGAGCCTTTCTGTTTCAAAATGATCTAAGATCTCTCTAGCAGATCTGAGATTATTTTAAAACAGAAAACAAACGTCATCGCTTGGCTTAGCATAGTTCATTATGTCACTCCAATAGTATTTTTAAGTAATCGAGAATCAATTTACCCAAATGAAAAGTCTTTGAAAAACTCTCCTATGTCTCTGCAACAAAGCAAGCTAGAAATATCTATCAGCCTTTTCTACATCAGAAGCGAACAATTTTCTCTATTGAATAACGATATCAAAAGTCAAAAGCAAATGGAATATGTCTTTATAATCTCATCTCGGTTTCAAAATGTTCATCAATAATTCATACGATTGATCAATTATTAGCCTAATGAAAATAGCAAATCTCTTTCTTCTTCCTATCGAAATTTTTTCAGAAAACAACCACATACTTTAGATATTGGCGTCTGTAAATCTCTTTGTGATTAGGCGTTTCACATATTGATACTACAAGAATATTCGCTAACAACTATTTTTTTTTTCAAAATATTTAGATAATCAATCTTGGTAATTGTGAAATTCGTTCAATTTATTATCATATTCGTGATCATGTTATAGTTTTAACTGATCGTCAAAATATGATCTATATTTATTGTACACAAACATTTCAAAAATTAAATCAATTTCCTCTTGTACATCATCAACAAAGTGGTCATCCAACACATATGACTAGTCTACCTGAAACATCAATTGTTTTTTTACTTTTATCAGATAATTCAATATATAGTATTGATTTATCTATAATTTTACATCGATCTAGAAATTTAAATTCATCAACAGTTGATCTTTGTTATCGTTATGTAGCTAATGTTTCATTACCAACATTTAAAATTCTTGCATTACCAACAGCTAGTGGTCGAAAGTAAGAATAGATTTTTAAAATGAATTATATAATGAATTTATATAAAATATTTTTAGTGTAGAAATTTGGTGTGGTTGTTCATTAGGAAATTTACGTATTATTGATGTTCGTACAGCTCAATTATCTGTTCAATTATCACATCAATTATTAACTGGTTCAAGTGCTGTACATTTACTTTGTGTATCGAGAAATTCACCTCATCAATATTTAATTTGGACAGCGATGAAAACAGGTAGCATTTTTACTTTAATATTTTACACAAGATTTTTCGAGGATTAAAGACTTGTTGATAAAACATGAAAAAAAGTGATCTTAAGATTTGCAAAGTAATCATAATAAAGTCTCTATGAGTTTTATATTAACTCTCTAAAGTTAATATCGATCATCTATATCTCAGTAACCTAACAGTTAATACAATTAATATTTTTTTAATTACTTAGTTACTATAATAAATTATTCTTCGGTGTGATGTGTTAGTCATGATTGAAGAAATAGACATCTGAAATATATATTTTTTTAAAATTCAGTTCTGTGTGAGAGCTGAAAAGAACGCAAATGACAATAATTAATAGCAGATAACTTCCTTCTATAATATCTCGCATTGAGGAGAAAACGTTTTCAACTGTTTGATCGGTCAGGATGAATAGTGAGAAAGTATTTTTTGGTTTCGTTTTCCGATCTTTTATTCGAGTATTGTCTTGTGAGCACAGAATCGCTGAGAACTTCGATGATCGAATTTCGAGCTAATATTTTGTTCATAAATTGGCTTATAATCAATAAAAATACTCCAAACTTTCAGGTAGGATAAAAGTATGCTTGCTAAGATATATACATTTTAGAGCAATATCTGTTTTTTGAATAGTTTGAAAAGAAGTACGTTTCTATGACAAACTCGTATCTCGATACATACAAGTTTTAGTTCGAAATTCGATCATCGAGGTTCTCAGCGATTCTATGTTGACAGAGCAAAAATCGAATAAAACACTCATAGTTCAACAAATAAAGATTGGAAAACTACATGAAAACTGACTTTTTTTATTATTTATCCTGGTCAGTGAAGATCGATTGAACAATCGAGAATGTTCCTTAGTAAATCAAGATAACTGAATCATTCATGGTATCTTGTCTAAAGTAAATAAATACTTGAGTAACCTTGCATAAATGCTTCATTTTATAGATTGTTAGCAACAAAGTAGAGGTATAGCATTAATGAAATTAATAGTAAATGATGTGGCCTATATGAGACTAAAAAAAGGTGTTGTTTTTCTTTCAAAATCAAATATTTTTTAAGATAAACTAGTGACATGTTGGTTGCTAGGCCTTCGTCGTTGAGATTTTGAATGTCTGATGAATTTTTCATATAGGGTGCCAGTTTATAAGCGATTTATTGCTTGGGAATCTTCCCTTATAAAAAAAACCTTCTGTTCTTCTAAGATTTACTTATACTCGATAATTTGACTGTGCCTTTTCTTTTAAATCAATTAATTTTTAGAAAGTTTTGTATGTATTTGGAATCATCTTTCTCGTCGCATGACCAATCAAATTGATTGTGCACAAATTATTAAACGATCTAATGGTTAGAATTTTCTTTCTCGTTTAACTAATCTCTTTACTTCTACGTTATTAGATGAATCGAATGATATAACTATTGATTCAATCTTACCTACTCGAATACTTGTATTTATTGGATTAAATACTGGTCATATAATTATTATTAAATCATCAGCTATTCAAGTTTTATATACTGTCCATGCTTATGATCAACAAGTTTTACATTTATTTGCACTTTCTCAATCTGCTTTATCCCCATCAACAACAAATGAATCACATGATAATCGATTTATAACTCAATTTAAATATTTACAAGAAAAATTTGAACAACATCGATTTAATCGAGGAAATTTTCGTACTCCACTTCTAGCTAGACCTGATAATAATGATAATGAACTTGATAATATATCATACATGTTAGCTATTGGCTATGGAGCAAAAGCGTGCCAATCAATTCCACAATTACAAAAATATTCATCAGATGGGATTTTCTTACAAACATGGTCTTTAGATGATTTTATTCTCTAATATTATATCATGTTTGATTTAGTCGATACATAAACAGTAATAGAACGAGTATTAACTAATTATTTCCATTCATCTGTGATACTCGACACTGAATTAATAAGATAATAATGCTAATGCAACGTGAAAACAAGAAATGCCTTGTTTATGGTTTCTAGTCAATGCTATTGTTTGATTGTACATATATATCTATTAAATAAATAGATGAAATATTGAACAGTATTTCAGAAGAAATGTTTTGTTTAATTTGATTGTATCATGTCAGAGATTTCGTTCTGGTATTAATAAGTTGTGCATGTAAAAATAATGTTTTTTTTTTGGTTTCTAGTACCATGAATTGAATGTTTTGTATGTTCAAGAAGTTGATCAAACAGATAACAATCAAGCCTCCATTCTGCCCTCAAAAGTCGATCTCATCCCGGGAACACTTAAGTCGCATGAAATTTTCATTCCTATGCAATGATATTTTCGGCAGATATTCAACTAACAATGATAAAAAATAGCTCATTTAGCAATCCAAAATTCTCTGTTGGTCTTCATTCCGTAGACTTATCTTTTTTTTGACATGTTTGAACAAACATGTTAGAATGCAAGACATGACAGTGCCCTTTTTTTAATTCTTACTTTTTAAGGGAGGAAAAATTCAATGTCTCAAAAAATTGCACTCTAATTATAAAAGTACTCTTTTATATAATAGTAGCAAAGCTTAATTCAAAGAAACGGGCTCTGTTAAATAGAAGAAATTGTTGACTACAATGAAATTCCTTGGAGAGTTCTGAGATATGCGAACAAAAAAACAAATAAGGCGAGAAAAAGCGAAAACAATTTTACACTTTATCTAAGAAACTACATTTTTCAAGTAAAATATGACAGAAATTTTTGATAAAATGAAATGGGGGTGAATACGGCTGTGTGGATGTTCATTGTCTCTTCGCTCATAGCCACAGCCACAATCTCACCCTCACAACCAAACCCACCCACATCCACACCCTATACTTTCATTTGATGATTAATTTTATTAAAAACTAAACTATTCTGCATATTAAGCATCTTTCCCACTCAGAACCCATAGAAAAAAAAATGGCGAAAAATGATGTAATTTACATCATTTTAATGAAAAATGTTCCACAGAGACATCATGCCGAAAGTGAAAAACATGCCATGATTCTGCATGAAACGGACACTTTCGTGCATGTTTTTTAAACTAATGCAATTTTTTCGAAAATTTCACTCCATGAAAATAATTAAATTTACACGGATATTACGCCATGAAAATCATTAAAAATGTATGGAAGTCATCCTCTTTATCTGGTGAAAAAGAAATGCCATGATTCCGCATGAAACGGACACTTTCATGCATGTTTTTCAAACTAATGCAATTTTTTCGAAAATATCATTCCGTGAAAGCAATTAAATTTACATAAATATTATGCCAAGGAAATCATTAACACACATCAAACTCTTTTCCTGAAAAGAATTAATATTTAATGAAAGCCATGCCCTTATAACAATGAAAAAGTTCTGCGTCTAGGCCACCAGCAGACTACGCTGCAGGTGGCATCTGAGCCATTCACAAGGCTCAGGCTGGTTGCCCTTCGAGGGGCTGTGTGATAAACTCTTGAAAAATTCAATTTACTCTAGAGCCATGTAAACTGGCAGAAACTTACAGTAATAAAATTTATGATTTCTAATAGAAAAAACAGGGCACGACATCCTATCTGTCCTTACACATTTCGTTTGTCACAAAACTAAAATTTGTAAGGACAGATGCGGAGATAAGGTTCAAATTCATCAATTTTTTTGATAAATTATCAAATTCATGCAATGAAAATGATGCAAAAGTAATGAAAGCAATGTTATGACTTTCCTTTTTCCAGGGCAATTAAAGTTAGGAAATGAAAGTGAGAAAAAGTAGTGCAAAGATTTTGATTTTTACGTAAGCATCAAAATCATCGGCAAGAATAATGCAAAGGTAATGAGAGTAATATAATCATTTTCATTTTTCCAGAGTAATCGAAGTTATGAAATGAAAATTATATCAAAGTAATTGGAGGTAATGTAATGATTTTCATTTTTTCGAAGTCATCAAAATCATGAACTGGAATTGATGAAAAACTAACGAAAGTAATGTAATGGTTTTGATTTCACCAGAACAATCAAAGCCATCAACTGAAAATAATTCGAAACTAATCAAATCAAAGTTATGACTTTGATTTTTCAAGGATAATGAAAGTCATGGAATAATAGTGAGGAAAAGCGATAAAAGTAAGGTAATGATTTTCATTTTTGCGTAGTCATCAAAATCCTGGAATGAAAATGATGCAAAAGTAATGAAAGTACTGTTATTATTATAATTTTGCAAAAAAGAATCAAGATTACCTGATAAAAATGATGAAAAAAAAAACTAATGCAATTAATTCAGTTTTTTTAAATAGAAAAATTAATGCAGTGGAGATGATGTAAAAGTAATGAAACTAATGAAGTGATTTTAATGTTTCAACAATACAGTATTTAATGCAATAAAAATGATGCAAAAATAATGAAAGTACTGTAATGATTATAGTTTTGTGAAAAAATGAAGATCATCTAATGAAAATAATGCGAAAAAACTAAAACTCGTGCAATGATTTTAATTTTTCTAGAATAGAGAATTTAATGGAATGAAAATGATGCAAAAACAATGACAGTACTATTATTATTATATTTTTTCAGAAAAATTAAGATTATCTTATGAAAATCATGCAAAAAAATGAAATTAATGCAAGAATTTCAATTTTTCCAGAATAATCAATTTAAGACAATGAAAATGATACAAAAATCATGACAGTATCGGGATGAGTTTGATTTTAGCGAAATAATTAAAGTAACGAATTTTTTTGATGAAAAGTTTGGAAAAAAATCATTTAAATGAAATTGTTCTCATTGTTTTATTCCCTGGGAAGTTTATTTTTGCCCTAGAACAGAAGATCGGGATTAAACTCTGAAAGAATATATGTTATATGTATGTAATTCATAGTAATGAATCTTTGAGTGGATGTGGGCGTGGGTAGGGTATGGACATTGGTGTGGAGTGGGTATTGGATCTTCTTACTCACACCAACACCCACAACTTTAGTCTAAAATTGTTCCAGCTCACTTGTTTCGAATGGAAACTGAAGGAAAGATGAAAGATTCCAAGTAGTTCTTGCCTTGGATCTGTCCATATATAGGAAATCGGGCAAGTTTGGTTGTAATATGACTTTGCTCTACTCAATGAGATCCAGAAACACTGAAAGTTTCAGAAGCATTTGTCTCAGCATTTTTGAGAAACTTTGAAAATGAAAAAGTGCCGATAATCGATCAATATGCGCTTCCCACATTTTGCCGCCAAGTAAATCTTAGATTGAAAGGAAAATAGTAGAAAAAATAGCGAATAATAAATATAATGAAACCGTCTGGTAAAGCTGACATTCAGAATGAAAAATTTGTAAGTGAATATCTGATGATAAGTACTAATGGTGCCAGCAACGGTATTTGAGTTGACTCAGAAATGTTCTTTGCCTTGGACGGCGGACGCCAATTGTTCCGCATATGTCGGCAGCTATGGTAGTTCACATGATCGGCTTACACCTCTAGGTAGAGCCACTTTGCTATTAGGTAGTGGCTCTTCCGATGTTTCCGTGTTGAATCGTTCAACATACTTTTCAATGAGAGCTCGGATAGCTTGGCCAATTGACTTGTAATCGGCTTCATTCAGGTTAGCAAGAGATACGCGGCCTGATGGATGCCGCACCCCGAAGCCTCGCCCAGGTAAGAGGACAACATGTGCATCCTTAGCAAGTTGAAACAAGAGCTCGGTTACGTCCATATGACTGAGCAACCAATCCGCAAACTTCCGACCGTGGATTCGTTCACCAATTTCTTCAAGATCAAGTATCGTATAGTAGTTGACAGAATTGCTATCTTCTTTGTCATGTCCGAGGCCGATACCCATCGCACGGTACAGGGCACGTTTACGGTGTCGAATTAGTCTTTTAACAGCCATTTTATACGAATCAGATCTATCCATGAGAGCAAAAAGGGAAAAAAGTACCATTTGCACTTGCTGCGGAGTTTATAATCCCGCTGTGTGATTCAGCGCCACAGAACGACTATCTGCAACCAATCGATTAATGAATTTAAGTAAGTCAGGCTCAGCTAAAATTGATTGATAACGCTGGCGTAGAGCCGCTCGCTTTTCATTGTCCAATGCTGCTATCTGAGCATCGATCACATTGTCACGGTGAACACCGATCACTCCAAGACGCCAACCTGTTGCACCGAAGTACTTTGAGTACGAGTAGACAAGAATGGTATTCTTGGGACACATGGCGAAGAGTGAGACGAAATTGTCAGCAAACGTACCGTAAACGTCATCAGTTAGCATAATCAGATTGGGCCGTTCGGCTATGATCGAAGCTATGTAATCAAGGCTTTTTTCGTCAAGCTTCACTGAAGTAGGATTGGTGGGATTGACAAGGAAAAATGCTTTAACCTAGAATAGCAGTTTATAGAAACAATAATGAATACTTTCGTAGTATACTATTTTTTAAAAGTTTCCCTGAAGTGTTTCCAATGCTAGAAAAATCAGAAACAAACCAATTTCATTGAATTATATCCAGCCTAAGAAATACAAGCTATTTTTGGCTCGCAAATTAGGGAAAATGGCAAAAACTTGGAAGTAGAAATCCTCTGAACAAATCTTGTCACTGGTTCTTCCCAGTTACAAATGGAACTGAAAAAATCCTGCCATTGGCTCCAATTACCGAGCTCCTGTTTTTACGTTTCTACGACTTGCCAGAATTTTGCAGCCGAAAGCGTCGTCTTACCAACGGAAACTTGCCGAAAATTCACGAATCACGGCACCGAAATCCTTGGCATGGACATATAGTAAGAGGAAGGTGATGGAGCTCGTGACGAAGTTTTATTTAAAAATCCTCTCAATCAAGTTTTGATGAAGATATCCGGAAAATACGAAAAAAGTATCACTATGCTTTTAATACTCGACTCGAATAAGTTAGTTTCGAGAAACTACGTTCAGTTTGAATGCACGAAATCTTTGATTTTTTTGAAAATTTCTGAAATTCGGCTTTTTGACACTTTTCTCGTATTTTCCAGATATCTTCACCAAAACTTAATTGAGATGAGTTTTAAATAAAACTTCGTCACCAGCTCTATGTTACTATGCATAATTCAATGACATAAAGGGACTAAATTTCGAAATCAACATATCGAAAATTAGAAATCTGTTTAGATCCTAGGTGAAAAGCTTTGTCTAAGTTTGGAGCAAAAGGATGCTATACGTCACGCATGCGCACGGCGCAACAGTTAGATTTTGGTGGCGTCTGTGATCAAAAAACAATTTTTATTTTTTTTAAATTCTTCTTGTGACGTTTTCATTTTTAACATTGTGACATTCGACATTTCGCCACCAAATCTGGAATAAAATCAATTCGTTTCTGCTATTTTTTGCATTGGAAGTACCCTACTGTAATGACAAACTGGAAATGATAGCTTACTGCGAGCCTCGGTAATTATGATTTTTCAGCAATTTTATATCTCCGGAATGTAAATACTTCACATACAGCACACGCTTCTATAGATAAGAGGAAAATAGAGAGTTGATCACAGGATAGAACACTAGACTGAAAATAAAGAAGAAAGACGTAAGGAAGATCAGCTAGAGGTGATGCCAATAGCGGCGCATTTACAATAATATGAAATCATGTTGAAACGAAAAATAATCAGTTGTAAAAGCACACTGCTAATTGTCGACTGAGAAGTAAGGCATTTCCTAAGTTTTCTCTAATTTTGAGGACAAGAAACAGTATTGCCTGATGAGAGCTGCTTCAGTCTTCGGTTAAGAGTACAGTGACATGGTTCTTTACTGTTCTTTCTCACAGACTTCAAATCAAATTGTCTAGGTGTATTAGATGGGCGTGGAAGATAATTCATGCCATGTCAGTTGTGTTCTCAGTATAAAATGCAATGAAAGTGCTGACATTGAAAATCAAATGTACACCTTCAAAAATCGATTTCCACTAAATTAAAAGGCTAAAAGAGATGAGTTGTTTAGAAAAATTATCTACTGCAAAACAAAATATGGTTTTCTCATCGTGAAAAGCATCAAGTGGAACACAAATGTATGCGGGTTGTATTATTTAAAGAGAATTTTTATCTAAACTATGTATGAGTGAATTGCGCTCATATTGTACCGTTGAGTCGCCAACAGTAACATGCACATATCTTATCTTCTACTCAACCAATCTTGATAAATTAAAAAAAAAATTCCTTGTTATCTAGTCCATCTGCCAAATACACTATTAAGCCATTGGATTGCTATCAATGCAAACTTTTCAAGAAAAAGAGAAAAAAAATCACTTTTCTGTGGCATAATTTTCATAGGACAAAGTTAATTTTTTAGTGCTATTCTGTAACCAAGACTTTCATCTTTCTGCCTATGCAACGTACAGACAACTTAGCTTTCAATATACCCCTGAAATATTGTAAAAACTGCCTAGACATACTAACAGGCCATTTTATGTTCTGACAGATCGAATTAAAATTACTAAAGCCGATTTAGAAGTAAACTCAGATTGCCTTTTTGCTTTCGAGAGATTAAAGGGCCAGCAATTTAAAAAAAGAAGCAAGAAACAAGAGAAACAAGTAGCTATAGTTCCACTAAAAGTCCCGACAGATTTCTGATTTTGTTTTATTGATTTCTCAGTAACTATAAGCGATCAGTTCATAATCTTTGTATCTTTTTTAGCTGACTACACGGTCGATCTATGTTAGAAATGTCAGCTCTTAAGTGAGTAACGTTCATGAGAAAACTATATTTTACATGAAAAATGTTCCGACAGATTTTCTGTGTCAAAATGTCCCGACAGACTAAGACGATGGTTATCTAGAGATTGAGAAAACATAAGATAAATTCATTTTCTTTGAGTTTGATTGACTCCTATTGCTTCGAGATAATTTTTCATATGCATTACCAAGATTTTTAAATACTTTATATCATCGAGAAGTCTGAGAGAAGTGGGGAGAAGGAAGATCAGAGCGTCTCCGTCACGTTGATATCCTTAAAATATGCATCCATATAAGTGGATAAAGTTCTTTATATGCTCATTGGATTCTCCTTTTCAAGAGTTTTCGATTGATATATGATAACAATATATAAATCCTATTTATGAACCTATTCTGCAAAGAAACTGAAAAACGTCAATTTTTTAGAAATTTTATTTTACCAAAAATCATAGAAATTAGTCATCTTTTTTTATAAAACTCATTTTTTTTCAAAAGGAAAAACTGATAGTTGGGAAAGCACTTGATTTATATGTAATCGATGAAGCTCTATGGAATGTACGACTCGAATATTTTCCATGTTCACTTGTGTTTCTATCGATTTTTTGACTCAAACTGTACAATACGAGCGCAATTCGCTCATATATATAAATTTCAATGAGTTTGGTTCTAATCTGATGGAAAGACGAAGTTTTCATTCAACTCCTAAAGAACAATGTGGTAATGAATGACTTTTGTGAATGCTTTGAAAAACTTGAAATATGATCGCAAACTACTGTACCTTGGGATCGCGTAGTTTATCGAGTTCCACTTTTGGGTACTGCCAATTTTGATCTTTGTCAGCGTATATATGCACAATCTGGAGGTTATAGTCTCCGATGTGCGGAATCTCCATGTAGGGTGTGAAAATAGGCGAGCCGATTGCAATTGTATCGCCTGGTACGAGTATACCATTGACTCGCAAGGAGTTGAAAATATAGATCATTGCAGCCGTGCCACCTTCAACCGCAAACAGATCGAACTCGCCGATGAAAGGCTGTAAAACGAAAATATAACTAGAATTAGATCGAGATCTCATCGTTGAAATTTAAATGTTATCTTTGGTTCAAACCTTTTGCTACTAATCGAAGAGAAAATCAATAGAATTCTAAAGTGAGTACTTATTTGTTTCCAACATATATGCCAACTCTATAGAGAATTTTTATATTGATTAGTTTTTCTTTATTATTATTGTCATCTAAATAGCAGAGCTCGGACGAAAGTATTTGTAATTGTACTTCTTGTACTCTTCAAGTAAAAGTACAAGTACCAAATATTCATCAGGTGTACTTGGTACTTGCACGTGTACTTTAAGAAAAATACTTGTGCTTATACTTATACCTTCGGAAACGTGCTTGATACTTATACTTATACTTCAAGACAAGTACTTTTGTACTTCGTACTTTGACTTGTACTTTGAAATAAAATCTCTACTTATTTGAAGGATATTTATGTGTCATTGAAATTTTCATAATTATTGCTAGTGTTAGAATAAAAAATAATTTAAAACGCTTCACTGTTCCCATGTCAAGCCACTAATATCCGCGCCAGAATAAAAGAGGGGTGAGTGTAAGCTCAATAACTCGACAACCGCAATACCTGGCTATCTGCGGTTTTCACCAATCGAAAGAGGAGGAGCGGGCACGTCTTTTTCTTCGATAATGTATAAGACGAAATTCTTTTAAAACTAATGATATTTGAAAAACATGCAAAACAACTCATGAAAATGACCTGTCAGCTAGATGAAATTTTGTTTTTGATCTTCGATTTAGATAGAGGGACTTGAGATCTACAGTTCAACACACAATGCGCTTTCTTACTTTTTCTTACATTTTCATCGAAATGTCAAGCTACTCGGATAAAAGTGCGAAAACTTAGTAAAAAAATCAGCAAAATTTTCTATTATTTGCGCATGTAGGTACATGATTCCATTTGCTCAACGTTAGAATGTAGTAAGACATTCATTTGCATTGTGTCTTGAACTATAGATCTCAAGTACATCTATCTAAATTGAAGGTCAAAATCAAAATTTCATCTAGCTGACAGGTCATTTTCATGAGTTGTTTTGTATGTTTTTCAAATATCATTATTTTTAAAAGAATTTCGTCTTACACATTATCGAAGAAAAAGACGTGCCCGCTCCTCCTCTTTCGATTGGTGAAAACCGCAGGTAGCTAGGTATTGCGGTTGTCGAGTTATTGAGTTTACACTCACCCCTCTTTTATTCTGGCGCGGACATTAGTTTATGATTCATTTTACTTTAAACAAAATTATACAGAAGCTTTGAAACTCTTGGAAAAGGCCGTCTTTAACGTATAAGTGAGATCAAAGAAATTCACGAGTAATACATAACAGTAGTTTTTCTTTTCCTTTTTTTTTTGTTCTGTGTTCTAAATATTGCACTGTAAAGGAGAGAAATGATTTCAACCCAGTATAATGCTCGGAATAGAATGAAAAGAAAAAGAGAAAAAAAATGTTATATATTAACTGTAGATTTCTTTGATTGCACTTTTGTGTTGAAAACAGTATTTTGAAAGAGATTAAAAGGTTCTGTATACCTTTGTTTAAAATAAATTAATGATTGATGAACTAGTTTGTCTTGCAGTAAGTGCAGACTGATAGAATCCGGTAATCAATTTTCTTCTTTGATGGCTTGTTTTCTTTGTATTGCGATTCGAAAGAATGGCAAATTCCCTCTATCTCTAGAGTATCCTATCGATCTACAGGATTGTACATCAATTTTTGCTAGTAAAACATAACTATTAAAGAGCATTAGACATACAAGTTTTATATATATATAAATATTTGAAAGGTTCAGTTTTTCCTGTATTCAGATTAATCATTGGAAAATAAAATGACTTAAGCGATTGACGATGAGGAAGAACAAGAGCTAAAAGAAAATGTTCAAGCTGACGCCTATCAACACTCGATGGAACCAGATGGAACGTTTTATCAATCAAGAGTGAATTACTCAACGACTGCATTCAAGTGAAATAGGTGTTACTGACAACTGAAAAAAGGATACGAATGCTGTTTGCAGCGATCCATCTTTCAGTAATAAACGTCCAACTTTGCTCCATGACTTCTCGATAAGCGTCAGCTCGAACATGCTCTTTCATCAAGTGTTCTTTGTCATCGCCAATGACTTAAACCATTTTATTTATCATTGATCAATCTGAATTCGTGAAAATATGAACTTTACAAATACATGTAAAACTTGTAGTATTCATGCTTCTTAATAGCTGTATGTTACTAGATAAAAGTTATGTAAAATCCTGTAAATTCATAGAATACTCTAAAAGTACAGGAGCTTTGGCATACTCTCAGATGCAGTACACAAAAAAACAAAATACGAAACAGGAAAATTTATTCCTGGGTCCTATAAGAAAATAGTGATATGTAAATAATTTTCCAAGAAATAACTCTCTTTTCGTGTAGATCATCGTTGCAGCGTTGTACTGGGTTTTTTTTGTTACTTCGTCGGAGTTTATTTTTGTTTTCTTTCTGACTTTTTTTATTCAAATTTATTTTTGCTCTTATTGTTCGACAAGTCAGTCGCTTGTTTTGTTTACATAGCTAAGCACGTTTTATTCTTCTCACACAAGACAAAAATGATCATTATTTTTTCATGTTCTTGAATTTATAGGACAGCGATGGCAGCAAACACAAAATCTGGTCGATGGCGGGTTAAAGTGACGTCTCTCCCTACATCCATTACTACAGCGCAGTTAGCTCAATCATTGCACCTTTCTCTCTCACGAATCTGTATTCCAAAAGGTCAAGACAAAGCAACATATTATGCCTGGATCAACCATTTTGACGACGAACGGGATGCAAATGAATTCGCACTGCAAAATTCACAACTAGTCATTTCCAATTTACAGATAAAATGTTCTGCAGTTGAGCCTAAAGACGATTATATGAATATTCAACATACATCACGAAGATCTTCCGTGGACACTCAACCACAAAAAAAGTCTACTTTAACGAATACTGCCCATCGCAGGGACGCACAGCAACGACCGAGTAAGTTTTGCTCACAGCGAAAAAGAAAATACATGAATTTAAATGTGGTACCATATTGGACGTTCATAGAAAACATAAATATCTTTTCTTCTAAATATATTTTCAAAAAATTCAAGTAAACATATGCAAAAATCAGATACAACAATTTATTTATTTTTACACTTTGTCTATGTATTTCGCAAGTAGTTTTGTTTAGAGAGCTGCACCTTTCAGAAATAAAAGACCTCGGTGAGATATATATGTGGTAAAAATTTGTGTCTCCAGAAAGCTTTTCATTTTTATCTCAGACTGCTTTCGATGATGTTACATCTAAAAGAGTATTAAAATCGAAAAACAAGTTTTTCAGAAAAGTGGTAGAAATCCGACAGGTTCATCCATATATGAATAAAACTTTATCTTGTGATTAATAATGTTTTTCGAAAGATGTGAATGTATGTGATCTCTTCGTCCAACACTTACACTCACATTCTTTAACTAAGTTTCTTAAAATAAAATAAAATAAAAAGTGGTATCTTACTTAAAACGTTACGATACAACAACTCATTCGATGATAAGGTGAGTTTATGTGAAAGTCATATTGGAACTGTATCCTACACACACTATAGCTCAGTAGTATTCCTTGTTTTCAATTAACTATTGTCACAATGGAGAAGTCTAAATGTTGTGTCACATTTTAGTGTCAGCTGCTCGATTTTCAATGCAAACTCTCGACGCTGAGTGCGAGCGTGAACTTTGCTCTAAGGCGAATAAAGGTCTATGTCGCTACAAAGATGGTGAATGCAAATATCGTCATACAAGATGTCACAATTATGATTCATGTTTACATTCTAAATGTCCCCTTGCTCATGCATCACAATTATCTTCCGTAAGTCAAAAACTAGAAATACTTCGTCCTTAGCAGAAATCTTTTTTCAACATTTATCGTGTTTAGAAACAGTGTTCTCATGGCATTCGATGTTTCAAACCTGATTGCCCACTTAACCATCCGGAGGGATGGAGTGCTTGTGATGATGGAGTACAATGTAGTCACTATGAGTGTAATTCCAACCATCCACCTGCTCGCAAGGGAAAATGTCCTGATGGAAATCTGTGCAACACAAACAATTGTAAGTTTCTTCATCCGAACATGCATCCTAACGAATGCTCATGGGGTATAAAATGTCGGCAATGGGTTTGTACGAAAACTCATCCAATTAGTCGAACTCACCTTTGTCCGAAGGAAGATCATTGTAACAATGATGCATGCGGTTACTTGCATCCGCCTAAATATGCCAAACTATCAAAACCAATAGCCGCCATGCCATTGATCGCGCGTAACGAGCCAATTATCACTCCTCACTCAGGGAGGGAACAACCAGAAATAATTGAGTTAAGTGTTGCAGAGCAAAATTTTCTTGAATCTTTTGGCAAGAAAATCTTGGATAAAATTCGTGAGGAAGAAGGTATTAAAGATGTAAAAGTTAAAGATGGTAAGCTTCAACTGTCAGGAAATAGTTCGGCAATTGCAAATATAAAATCTTACCTAAAACAAACACTTCATGAAAAGAATGTGACAATTAAAAATAATTTGAAGAAATATTTACTGTTATCCGTTAAAGGACGTTTAATGAAGAGATTTAAAAAAAAATATTCCACAGGAATTTCGTATCTGGAAATATCAACAAACGCTCATTTGACTACCAATGATATGATAACAATTAAAAATTGTGTTGCTGAGCATGATAAAGATGAAAGAGGACAGCAATGTGATAGTGATCGTAATGTGGATCAATTCGAAGACGAACAAGAAGATGATGATGACAATGATCGGAAGAGTGATATTTCGAATACATCATCAAGTGTCACAAATATTCCGAACAATTTTAAGCATCATCGTAAATTTGCTCAAAAATTTATACAAGTAACATTATATAATGACTCGGAAGATTTATTATGTAAAGCCATAAAAGAATTACAAAATTATAGTTTGCACACTCGATCATGGGCATTAACACAAGATGAAATTACATACATTTTAAAACAACCATAACTACGTACAACTCAAAACAATAAAAGCAAAGTTGATAATCAACGTTTTCAGATTACAGATTATCTCAGTGGTCTCGTTCGATCTACCCCGAATTCTGTCGTAGAAATCTTTGTTGATCATAAAAATGGTATATGGCGTGTGAAAGTGAGAGGATTCAAGGACAATGTAAACAATGCCATATCCAAAATACAAAACTGGCTGAATGATAATATTGAAACTGAAGTACAACTTTCGATTTCAAAAGTTATGGCAATTTTTCTCCGAACAAAAGCTTCGGCTGATATTAAAAAAATGGAAAAAACTGATTCTATAAAAATAACAATCATGTCGGCAGCTGGTCGAAAAAATGGGAATGATGAACAGGATGATAACCACGATTGTTTGAAACTCAGTGGTTCTTATTCACTCATTAGTTTCGCACGAGAGAAAGTAGAATATTTTCTCGAAGGTTTATTCGAACAAGAAAAACAATTTCCTTGTCAGAGTTGGGACGTTTCAAAGATTGTTTCCCAAAGTCTTCGTACACGTCTGAAAGAGCTACGAGATTCGGATGATTGTGAATCAATAAGATGGATAAAAATCTATACAGCGATAGAAAGAAGAGAAACTGCGCCAAAAGTTACTATATCAATAGTTGGTTTGAACGAAGAAGCAGTTGATAATGTTACTGAACAATGCCAAGATGTTGTAGAAGGATACGTTATTTGGAAACTACCTGCGGATGAGTACAGTGTGATAGTTAATGCATTGTTAGTAAAAAAGTCGCCGTCTATTGAAGAATTTCGCCAGCAATGGAAAACTGATATACGATTAGATCGAAATACGAACACTATCACTATTCCTGCACGGTCGAAAATGATGACAGATAATATCAAGGAAGCTCTACTAAGTTTGGGCGAAGAAAAAAACCTCGAGTGAATCGTATATCTGAATTTATTCCTATTCAACCTAATATTCGTCGTTTTGTCAACCAAACTATTAGTCCCTTGCTTGATGAAGCAAAAACTCAAAAAGTTTTTGTAGAATCTAAAAATCCTACTGGATTGATACTCCATGGTCTTTCTGACATTGTTATGAAGCTCAAACAAAAGATCAATTCCATTATCAATGAGATTAAACAAAATATAACTACGAGTCATTTGCAATTATCTTCAACCGAATCAGACTTATTTCGAGTCGATGCATATAAATTAGCAAAGAGTATTGAACGAGAAACGAATACTATATTCGAGATGTTGCAGCAGATAAAGCTTCTTCCACATTAGAGACCAATGAAAATGACACCAGCCCGGCCATAACTGTTGTTGTAAACAGTCGAGGTCAAGCAATTGCCGTAGAGAAAGGTGATATCACAAAGGTAAAAAATGTCGATGTGATTGTGAATGCAGCAAATGCAACATTGTATCATGCAGGTGGCGTAGATAAAGAGATTGCTGATGCTGCTGGTCCTGCACTTGATCAAGAATGTGGACAAATAATTGCTAAGAATGGAGGTTTACCCATTTCTGCTGGTAAAGCAGTCAAGACAACAGCTGGTAATCTTCCTTTCAAGTGTGTGATTCATGCCATTGGTCCTCAATATAATGATGATGATCAGCAAGCACGTCCATTATTATTCTCTAGCGTCTTGTTTAGCTTGCGACTTGCTGAATGTGAAAGTTATACAAGTGTTGCTTTACCAGCCATTAGCTCTAAAACTTACGGTTTTCCATTAGAAGATTGTACCAATATTGTGGTTCGAGCAGTAAAACAATTCTTTGCTGATTATCCACAATCACATGTGAAAAAAGTTATTCTATTAGACATGGATGATGCAGCTTGTAATTCATTTGCACGTGAAGTTGTTATCGATCATAGAAATGCACTTATAGAGGATGATGATATTATCAACTACGAGTTGTCCCCATTAACGGCTAAATGGTGTTGGCAAGATGATAATGGTGATAAAATCAATGATGAAAATCATGCACGTCAAATTGAAGCTGCATCTCAACATTACTTGAAAACTTTCTGCATGCCAACATGGGATTCCCGAATTTCGCTAATAAGACTTTCGCCAACAGGACATTTGCCAATGGCGAAAGTCCACTGTAATTTCGCCAATATGCCCCGGTGACTTTCGCCAATTGGCGAGAATCCACTGGACTTTCACCAATTGGTAAGAGTCCACTATATTTTGAGCAATACACTTCCAGGACATTCGCCAATTGGCGAGAGTCCACTAGACGTTCGCCAATATAACCTAGTGACTTTCGCCAATACACTACTGGACTTCCGTCATTGGCGAATGTCCAATTGGCGAAAGTCTTATTGGCGAAATTCGGGTAAGCCGCCAACATTGGTAAGTCCTGCTGATAATTTACGAAGTGGTACTATTGTGAACTACAGTATCCATTTTCTTCCAAAGAACGGGGGGCGATTTCTGTAGAAATTGCCCCCCGTCCTTTGAAGCAATTGTTGGTAAATAGTCCAAATACACTAAACAGTCGTCTTGTCTGTGGATATCAAATGAGAGAAGGTAATGGCTATAAACGAGATATCATTCGTTATCCCATTACACAGCAAGCGAAATCTACATCTGTTACGTATCATCCCAAACCATTAGACCTATATGATTTGTACGAACCACACTCTACCTACCCTAGCTAATGACCATAAGTCTCATTCCTCAAAAGGATACATTTTTTTCCAAATTGACACAAACTGACTTCAGATTCGTATTCAGCACGCAAAACTGGGTAGAACAAGTTATTTTTGAATGATTTTTGACTTGCATCTAGCAGAATCATGATCATAGGTGCTCTCCTTGGATATATGATGGGTATATGATAGATAGAGGCATCAGTGTGTCAACTGTAATTCATTAATGTTACTAGCTATCGAGTTTTGGTTTTGTCCATTCGATAGCACTTTTCAGTGGCTACAAAACTGTCTACTTTTTAAACTTAAAAACTCCTGATCACTCAACACATGCCATATACATTGATCTT